TATCAGAGAGGAAGGGAGAAAGAGAAACATCAATGATGAGAGAGAATCATTGATCCACTGCCTCCTGCACGCCCCACACTGGGGATCGAGCCCACAACCCGGGCATGTGCCCTGACTTGGTCCAGAGGTCATTGCTCAACTACTGAGCTATGCCGGCCAGGTGATGATTTGCATTTTAAACGTAGGCTCTCCTAACCTATCTCAGAGTGGCCACCCTGTATATTCACTGCTCATTTGTGAAACGTGTTCAGAGGGAGGTGGTGGTGACGTAGCTTTAGACCGAAAGTCAGGAGATCTGGGCTGGATTCTGGAAGCAACTTGCTGATGGCTGGGTAAGAGTTTCAGTTTACCCAGAATGCTCTGCTGCTTGGCTAAGGCCGCTAGGCATTGAGAAATGCCTCCCCCTGTGTCTCCAAAGTGGGTGGCACATGGTGGGCGTTTTGTAAATACCTGTGTGGGCGATTAGCGCTCAAGCCTGCCTCCTTCTCTGAGAAAAACCAAGTAAGATGGTAATTGCAAAATTAGGTTCAAAACTGTAAGTGCATTTTACAAAATGGAGATATTATACTTAGTATTTTTCCTTGTGAAAAATCAATCATTCAAAAAATATATAGTAATAAGCAGTTAGAGAGCCTGAGCCCTTAGATGCAACTCAATTCAATGAGAATTCAAATTATTTTCATTTACATTCCATAGAGAATGCTTTTAAAACCTCCTAATATCTTAAAAACAAGCACATGGCAGGTATTGAAATCAGAAATGTATCAGATACCTGGATAATGAACTTGGTAAATCTTTATTCCTTTTATAATTCTAAGCCATTAGCCAATCATTTGGTACCTCATATGTACTGTAGTAATAGTCATTTATATCTAGTGTTAATTTGTCTTTTCAAATTTCTCTCTCTCTCTCTCTCTCTCTCTATTATTAGAGTTGGCATGCCTCTCACAATGTAAGGTCAGAGTGGAAAGGGGATGTGGCATCTTTGGGTGCAGAAAGGATGTTTCTATCACTTCAGAATCCCCACTTCTTGTAATGGGAGCACTGAGGCATGAAGTGTAGTGCCTCACTTTGAGGGTCCCTCCTCCACAAAGGGGGGGAAGGGGCCTTCTCACAGCAGCACATGAACCCAAGGTCCCTATCATCCCTACACAGGAAGCCATGTGACCAGTGGCAGGGCAGTGAACTTTAGCAGAAGCACACCCGGAACTGACACCCCCACACTCCCTTCTAGCCATGGACCCTCGAGGGAACCATTGACCTGTTCTGGGGCTTGACATCCTCGGATTCTGAGATTAAAAGGGGCTGGTGTCCCTGATGCTCCGTGAGGAGCTCCCTGTAAACAAGAGGAGTGTGTGGAACAGGCAGGGGTGCTAACAGCTTAAGTGTATGGATGGTGGAGGCTTAACCTGGTGCCACTGCTTCCTAGGCACAGAGGCTCCTGTGCCTTGGACTTTTTATCTGTAAAATGGGGCTACTATAGGAGTCTTCATGGACTAGTAAGCATGTTCATGGACTAGTAGGAGTCTTCATGGATTGTTAGGGGTTACTAGTAGGAATCTTTATGGACTAGTAGGAGCCTTCATGGACTAGTAGGATTGTTCATGGACTAGTAGGAGTCTTCATGGACTAGTAGGAGTGTTCATGGACTAGTAGGAGTCTTCATGGACTGTTATAAGGATTTAGAGAGGATGTAAGGAAGGATCTTAGAATAATGTCTGGCATGTGGTAAGGGCTCAAATGCATGTTAATTATTTTTAAAGCTTCCTTGGCCACAGAGTGGAGAGGGAAGTGGGAGAACAGGCGATATGCAGGAGGAAGATTAGCTGGACAAGTCTGACTGCTCTCAGTTCCGACCACACCTCCTGAAGAGGGCTTACTCCAGGAAACCAGTATTTGAGTGGCTCTCCAGTGGCCAGAGCAAGAGGAAGCTGAATATCTGAGCTTCTCCCCTGCTTCACCCGTGCCCACCTCCCCCTTACAATGTTGTTTCAGCATGTTAGTTGTGAAAATTTCTTCCCCTTTGATATGGAACATGCTGGATTTGTGGCTTTCCCCTCGGTCAGGCAGTGGAGACAAACGCTGGTGCCTCCTGCCAGCCCAGACTTACCTCCCACTCCAGCTTCCCTTTGGCGGCAGGTATACCAGAGCTCTGCTTTGCTGCATGTGTCCTTTCTAAGAAAGCTCTTTTGACTAACCAAAATTCATAATGGTAAATAATATTACTCTTATAACTAAGGCATATTGAGCCCTTGTTATAGAGAAATAAACCTGAGTTTCAAACAGTGAAACTTCTTATGTAAAACTTCTGTTACATTTCATGTTATGGGGAAGACATGTTAAATAGCAAAACCACTTTACCGTACTTCTGGCTTATTTTAGTTACCAACAGCAAAATATTCTAAATATACTACCTACAAATTGAGTAAAATGGCAGCAGTTAACTTATAAGATTCATATGCGGCACTCTACAATTGTAACACATTATGATAACAAGCATAGCCCATCACATTTCCATCGAGCCATGGTATCATCCCTTAATAGAATCACACTAAAAGAGACAACATCAAAGATGATTTTGTAGGGGAGACAAAAATATCTTGCTGCTATTCCGGATCTTCAAGTAGACTCCAGGGAAGGTGGGTCAGCCCAAAGGTGACTCCTTCTGTCTGCAGGTTAGTGGACAGAAGAGCGAGGTGGTGTGGAGAGGGCCCTTGTTGCCAGGGAGAGCGGTACTGGCCAGGGAGGACCCCTGGTGGAGGGGACTCTTGAGGAGGGTGTCCTCTCTCTTTATGGGATAAATTGTCTGTAAACTGGATGGGGTGGTAGACGGTTCTTTTTTGTGTCGCCGGCCAGGAAGGACTTGATGTTTTTGCTGGAGCTTCTGGTGACGCTCGCTAATGGGGCTGTTGTCTGGCTGCAGCACAGCTTTGAATGTATTGATTATTTTGGCTTCTTTGGTTAATTCCATGCTAATTCACTTTCTTCTTTTAGACAGTTTTTAAATAAGTGTTTCACTCTGCCACCTAACAGCTGCTTCACACCGCCTCTGATTCATTTTGTGAGACATCGCAACCAGATGCCTTTGATGCGGCCAATTCCAAGTCCTCAGGCTCCAGGCCGGCTTCCCCACCAGCAGCAGCCCAATCGCTCCTCTGTTAGCAGGTGCTGACTTAGACGCTGCTTCTCTTTACGGTGAGAACTTGTTCCACAGGCAGTTTAGGATCTCCTGACATTTTGTTTCTTGTTAATAAGTTTGTCTACTCCATTTAAAAAAAATTTTGGGGGGGGTGTGAATACTCACCCAAGGATATTTTCCCATTGATTTTTAGGGAGATTCCTGACATTTTGTTTCTTTTTAATAAGTTTGTCTACTCCATTTAAAAAAAATTTTTTTGGGGGGGGGGCCGTGAATCCTCACCCAAGGATATTTTCCCATTGATTTTTAGGGAGAATGGAAGAGAGAGGGAAAAACAGAGAGGAACATTGATGTGAGAGAAATGCATCAATTGGTTGCCTCCTGCCCATGCCCTGACCAGGGCCTGGGTTGGGGAGGAGCCTGCAACTGAGGTATGTGTGCTTGACCAGAATCAAACCCAGGACTCTTTGGTCCTCAGGCCGATGTTCTACCTACTGAGCCAAACCGGCCAGGGCTCCACTCCATTTTTGATATTCTTGTAAAAGCAGGTTTATGCTTCTATTTTGATTGACATTTTTCTCCAACCCTCTGTTAGTGCTCCTGGAGCGACTCTACGTTCTTCTGACGGGGATTTGAGGATGTTTCCTTTGCAGCCACTTGCTGTTGGATTTGCTTAGTTGTGTTTTCTAGGGACTAGACGTGTTTCTGTCAGCCATCAACAGCACTTGCTGTAGCGTTTAGATTTCTCTTCCTTTCATGCTTTTCTATAAGAATCTATTTTAAGACCGAGTAGAGGATTGTGGCTTTTCAGCTCATTGTTCATAGTTCTCACAGTGGCTGCTTCTGATAGTTTGTTCTGGAGTCTGACTTGCAGGATAGTTGATCTAAGGTCTCCAAATTCTCTTTGAAATTGGCTAACCCTCTTAAATATTTAATGTCTTTCCCCCAGAAAGACAAAAACTCCAATAACCAGTTCTTTGCTGCATCTTGCATAGTAACACAAAGTTTTAAGCATTAAAAACTCCCATCGTGACTGTAAAAAAAAGGGTAATTCTCCCACCCAATTCTTGGGTCTCTGGGCCTGGACTAAGCTCCCCTGGCAGATTCTCCAGCACCAAGGCCATCAGAGGGCCCTCTATGGCTCCCAAGGTCACTGCTGTATGGCCTAGGTTTCCAGGCACCTGCTGACCACAACAGATGACAGAGCCCCGCTGTGAGCATTTGGCCCAGAACCTTCTCAGTACCTGACCACCAGTGCAGACCCCAGTGAAAGGAGGGGGCATATGAAACAGTGTCTTCCAACCTTCCCACATCTTGACCCACAAAGCAAATGATCATATCACATGGCCTGGGTGAAATGAAGTAGGCCCTGCAGGGAATGGTCGGTGGTTCTGCCCACTTTCAGTCCTTCCCCAAGACCTGAGGAGATCCATATCTCTCCACACCAGTAGCCATCTGGGTCACCAGATAGGAGGCTTCAAGCTGGAGGATCACAGGACACCAGCACTGACCACTGTGCCTTTCTCTCCCTCTCCTTTTTAAAATTGAGGTGACATTTATATAACATAGTGTTTTAACTATTTTAAAGTAAACAATTTAGTGGCATTTAGTACATTCACAATGTGCAATCACCACCTCTATCTAGTTCCAAAACTTTTTCATCACCCCAGAAGGAAATCCTATAACCATTAAGCTCCTATTCCCCTCTCATCCCCCTCTTAGCAACCACAGATCTGTGATCTGCCTTTTTACAAAATTATGATTATTATTTTTTTAATCCTCACCCGAGGATATTTTTCCATTTATTTTTAGAGAGAATGGAAGAGAGAGGGAAAGACAGAGAGAAATATCGATATGAAAGAAATACTATGATCTGCCTTTTTGGATGAACCTATTCTGAATATTTCACATAAATGAAATCATATAATAGGTGACCTTTTATATCTTGCTTCTTTCATGTAGCATAATGTTTTTGAGATTCATTCACATTAGAGCATGTATCAGTACTGCATTTCTTTTAAGGGCTGACTATTATTCCATTGCATGTATCTAGCACAATTTATTTATCCATTTATTCGTTGATGAACATTTGGATCATTTCCATTTTTTGGCTGTTGTGACTAGTGCTGCTAAAAATGTGCAGGTACTTGTATTTGAGTACCAATTTTTGGGTTGGGGTGTGTATCTAGGAATATACTGAGTGAAATTGCTGGGTTATAGTAATTCTATGTCAAACCTTTTTGAGGAACCACCAAATTATTGTTCACAGTGGCTGCAATAATTTACCACCCCACCAGCAATGCACATTGTTCCAGTTGCTCCATTTGGGGTGTGTATCAGGAATATACTGAGTGAAATTGCTGGGTTATAGGCAATTCTATGTCAAACCTTTTTGAGGAACCACCATTATTGAGTGTAAGCTCCATAATCCCTGTTCACAGTGGCTGCAATAATTTGCCACCCCACCAGCAATGCACATTGTTCCAGTTGCTCCACATCTTCACCAGCACTTGTTATTTTCCATTGTTTACATTATAGGTGTCCTAGGGAATGTAAAGTGACACTTCATTGTGGTTTTGATTTGCATTTCCCTAATAATTCATGATTTTGAGCATCTTTTCATGTGCTCGTTGGCCATTTGTATATCTCCTTTGGAGAAATGTCAATTCAACTCCTTTGCCCAAACAAAAAAGTTGTTTGTCGCTTTGTTTTTAGTTGTAAGAGTTCTTTATATATTCTGAATACTAAATGTTTAGCAGATGTATAATTTGCAAATATTTTCTCCTATTTTGTAGGCTGTCTTTTCGCTATCTGGATAATGGCTTTCAATGTATGAAAGTGTTTAAGTTTGATGAAGTTCAATTTATCTACATTTTTGTTGTTGTTCATGGTTTCGGTGTCATATTTAGCAGTCCATTGCTAAACCCAAGGCCATCAAGAATTACCCCAATGTTTTTTTCTAAGAGTTTTATGATTCAGCTCTTATATTTAGGTCATTTACCCATTTTGAGTTAATTTTGGCACATGGTGTGAAATAATTGTATCTCCTTAATTCCAGGATCAAGGTAAAAGGTGCACTCTCTCTCGGGTGCCATTGGCATGGCAGAGGGGAAAGAACAACGGCTGACTACCGACAGCTTTTAAAAACACGGCTCTGACATGGTAGGTGGTTGGTCTGCTCGCATTGATTTGGTCAGTGGGACAGTACATATCCTTCTTCCCCAGGAAGTCATTGAAGACACCCATGGCAATGGCAAGAATGTACAATCTCTCACAGGGGAGAGAGAAGATGATAATTGGGGTCGATAATACAATTGACTACACAGACCCCAGAAATTATAATGCATGAATCCGAAAGATATAATTCAGAGACAAATGGTTTCTTTACTGGAAATGTCCAAACATTGAGTGTAAGCTCCATAATCCCTGTCTGACACCACTGGGGCCTGATGATTTGAGAATTCAGAAGCTTTTGGATTTTAGAAAAGACATATCGCACCTATGCTATATGTGTAACATATAACACTCCCAGCAGGATCCAGGGCAGTACAGGAGTCTTTTTGTAGCAAGATAGATAACTCTCCACAAAGTAGAAGCCTCACATTAGCTTAGATCAAATTCAGTTTAGATCCAATTTTGCTGCCAAATAATTTTGGGTCAAGTCAGGGCTTGCTGCCAAAGTGAGCTTAACGCAACAACAAAATCTACCTTTCACAGGAGTTTTTTGGGATTTTGGAATTGCAGATAAGGGCTTGTTGACTTATATTTCAGGCAGTCAGACACATCTTAGAATAATTTAGGAGGAAGCAATCAGCAATCACCTACCTCCTTTTCTGATTTTTCTAGGTAGTAATGAGATAAGACCTTTCCTAGACAGCTAGATGAGTTATAGAACACTCTGTTAGCTATGCATTTTTTGTCAGCAGCTGGAGATTTCATGTATTGGTAATGTATCAAGTGATATTTCTAGTCTGCACAGAGATCTAAGCAAGGGGTCTTTGGATGAAGACCAGGCGGTATCTGGCCTGGTCCTTGCCCTCATGGTTTTATGACCTACTGGGAGAGAGAGAGATGGTGGGTGACAAGCAGGGTTCTTTCATGGCACGTGGCTGTATGCATAGAGCCTTGGAAGAGTTCGGAGGGCCAAGGATCCATGAGGGCTAATCAAGGCAGGGTCCTGAGGGAGGGCGGGAGGGTTGGTTCAGTTGAAGGGGAGCCTCTGAGCATTCCAAGTGGGGAGACTCCCTGGAGGACTGGTTCAGAAGCAGGAGAGTCGAGGCAGGGCCTCAAGGGGTGGGCAGGGCTGTGGAATAGGGGACGTCCAGTGTCACAGACTAATCCAGAAGTCCACTTACCTAGTCCCAAAGTTTGTGAAGACAATGGCTTCTTTAGTTCCTTTTTAGTGAAGTTACTACAGAACAAAGGACACGTTTGCTGGAAAGCTTAATTGAAATGTACTTCCTCAGAATTATGTTCAGAGAGCAAATGAGTTTGAGCAGGTTGCTTGGCACATAGGGGTTGGAAGGCGCTGATCTCCTCATTCCTGACTGCAGGGAGCGGGGAGGAGGGTTGTGAGCGGGGGAGAGGAAGTGAGGTGGGTGGGAGGTGGTGACAGGAAGGGCTCCTGTAGGAACTTGCTTGGAGTAGGCTTTCCAGGCTGTGGGTAGGCAATTCTTCCTACCGTCTGGGAGCCAGCCTTCTGTGAGGGCTTACAACGCAGCAGACACCTGCTTTTGGATCTCCCAGGGAATTTTCCAGACAAATGCTCCCTGTCTGCCGGGTTATGAGTCAGGTTCTCCATCCTTGTGATCAATGGCACCTTCCTCAGACCTGCAGAGGCCTTTGAAATGTGAAAACTGCCTGATGGAACCAAAGCTCTAGAAGGATCGACTCTGGTGGGAGATGAAATTAGACAGACAGACACATTGGCGGGGCTTCACAGGACACCGGCCATGTGCTTGGACCTGAAGAACATACGAGGAGATACAGGCATACTTACTGCCTTTGCTCTGCTCCCTTGTTGGGGGAGCCAGCTGTTCTAGACACAGTGATTGAGTCTCTGCCATTGTCTGAGCCCTTTCTAATATGACCGGGTTCCAAGACCGAAAGGAATCGGTTTAGCACCTGTGGTAGGTTTTTGTAGATTCTGAAAAAGGTGTGACTGAGGAAGTCTTCACGAAGGAAGAGGATGATGGACCAGGTGTTAAATGATGGGTTAAGGAAGTTGGCTGGTGCCCGGGGGTTGGCGAGTGTTGGAACTGAGCCTGGGACCCCCCAGTTCCTTGACTGGGAATCATGTTCTAAACCTCCAGATTTCCAAAGAAGAGGAACTGAGGCATCCCGGGTCCTTCCTTGGGTGTTTTTAGATGTTACACACTCTGTTTCTCCTGCTCAAAGTCCTCTTCTCTCAAGGACTCTGCAAAGAAGTGACCTCTTTCACAAACCCTCTGTAAAGACTTGCAGGCGGTGTAGGAGACCGCTGGGCCCACAGTGCCAACTGCACACCAGCCTGGAACTTTCCTCTCTCTGTTGTCACTCTTACCCAACTCCGAGCTTCCTGGGGGCTCACAGGCTGGCAGCCCAGTGCCAGGCGCAGCGGGGTGCACAGCACCTGGAGGTACATCCAGGGTGCTCTGTTCCTGTCGGTCATGGACTGTTAGTGATACACTGTGGGCCTGGAACTCTGATCCCTGTGTGGTGGCTTCCAGGTGTCAGAATCGAGCATCATTGACTTTTCCATCGCACTGGATTAATTAATTAATTAATTAATAGGAAACAATATGGTAGGAACATGAACAAGGTACAGAGCACAGAGCTGCCATGCTGGGGAGCTCGGTAGGCTGGTTTGGGAGACTGGGTTCCTGTGCTGAGTGTCAGCACTCTGGAGGAATTCTTCAGGCTACTCCCCCACACCGTGTTCGGAGAAAAGGGAGAAGGGAGAGGGCCAGTGGGTGTCTGGGTGGGGGTTGAACTCAGGCCCAGACATGTCCCCAGTCAGGGCCCACAGTGATGGGAGACTCTTTGGGGAGAGCTGAGCACGGAGGGAACAGTGTAGGGGCAGCAGGAGGAGCAGGAATCCAGATGGGGAGGCCAGGCCTCAGGGTGGGCTGCAAACCCTGGAGTGAGTGGGGTCCCCAGGCCCCACCCCAGCCCCAGTCCGGGTGCTCTGTGGCCTCTGAGCTTCCTGTCTGCTTCTCATTCCTGCTGAAGACGTGGTTGCCAGAGGCCTCTTCATAGGGAACAGAACATGCTGCTCTCCTGCTCAAAATCCATCAGCGGCTGCTCATTGTCTGCTGGGTGCAGTGCGTGGGATCTCCAAGTGGAACGCCAACCCAGCTGTGGGAGGTTTTACAGAGCAGGAGGCATGTGAGCTGAGTCCGGACAGCAGAGCAGATGTTTACAAGGCAGTCTGCTGAGGGAGGGGGAGCTGGGGTGGGGGAGCAGACTCTCCCAGGAATCATGGTGTGCAAAAGCATGGAGGTATCAAGCAGCAACATATGGTAGGGCAGTGCCGAGAATTGGGGGGCAGCGGAAAACCAAGGGTGGGAGGTAGGCCATGCGGTGAGGACTCTGGAACGATGACAAGGGCTGGATTGCAAAGGGTCTTGTAGGGTATGTTCAGAGGTCAGTGGGACGCCCTGGAGGTCTTTGTTTCCTGTTTTGATATTGCAAATCAACGACAAGTTTAAAAACAAAAACAAAGTTAGGCTCTTGCTGTAGTTGGGTTTCTAGTCTGTTTTTCATTCAACATTATTACAGTGTGAGCATTTTCACATATCATCAACACATTTTTATGAACATTTTTGAGACTGCACATAATAGCCCATCAAGAAGATATATCAAAGTGTGTTTATCGTGCCCCTATTTTGGGATATTTAGGTTTTTACTTTTATTACTTAAAATAAAGAGATAATGAAACATCCTATGCTTATATCTTTGCTTGTCATCTCTAATTATTTACCAAGAATTGATTCTAAAAGGAAAACTTCTGGATGAAAAGGAATGGACATTTAAAAAACTCAGGATACTTATTGTTAAATTGCTTCCCTAAAATGTCAAATACATTATATATTTGCTACCTTCAGGGCACCAAAATGCCTATCTTGTAACCCTCATGGACAATGAGAATGATCACTCGAAAAAAAAGTGTACATTTTGAGAGAAAAAATGGTTAGTTACATTAATTGGATTTTCCTTAATATTTGAGGATTAAAAAAATTACAACTGTTCATTTGCCATTTGTATTTTTTTTTGGCAAATTATTCATTTCCTGGCCCAATTTCTATGGGATTATTTTCCTTATTCATTTAAAAAAAGAATTCGTAGATCATGCATGAAAACTCTACCTACAATTTTAAAGTTTCCCCAGTTTATGTTTGTTTTTTAAGTTAATGAGTGTTGTAATTTAAATATCTAGAATTTAATGACTGCAGGCGGGTGGGGTAAGGGAGGCAGGGAGAGGATGGGTCCCTAAGGTCACTTGTAGGTTTCTGGCTTGGGCACTAGGGACATGGGGGGTCCTCAGATGGTTCAGGCAGCTCAGGAGGAGGGTGCGAAGTACTCACTGCACGTGGCACCCCCAGGTTGAGATACCTGAGAAAGAGTCGGGAACGACATCTGAGCCTCATCCCTAGTGTGTGGCCAGGGAGTGTCTGTGAGAGAATGCGTGGCTTTCTCAAGTTAGAGCTCAGCAGAGAGTTCTGGGAGGAGACGTAGCCGTGAGTGTGTGTTAGGGTCAGAGGGCAGCCTGTCCCTGCCTCCCAGGCCCGTGCTCCTTGAGAATCAAGTGGATTTGGTGTGGGGTGTGGGTGGGGAGGGTGGAGACTTGGGTGATCAAATCTAGGCAGCATCTGAGTTTTCAACTTCACTGTACTTTTTTTTTTTTTTAGATCTTCATACTTTCCCCCAACCTTTTCCCATGGGGAGGTGGCTATGTTTTGGCCACCCCAAGCCAAATTACTCTTGGAGGCTGACACAGCAACTTATCAAATGATTATCACAATGAAGCTGCTCCCGTCTGCAGCCATGTAGTCTTTTCCACAACAAGTGGTGTTCATATAGCATCATTGACTTTACCATTGCACTGGAGTAATTAATAGGAGTCAAT